TGTGTGTGTGTGTGTGTATGTGTGTGTGAGTGTGTATTGGTGGTAAAGGCCATCGTTACGTCTTTCGATCCGGTCTGACCCCTTCTAATTATAGGTCCACCGGCTTCTAATCTATTTGCGCATTGAACAGTCTGTAGACTCATCTTTGGTCACCTGTGGAGACTCGCAGATGTGCTAATCCAGCCCAAGTGTGATTATGTGGCAATAGCGAGTTGACGTAATTATGACTGTCTTCAGTCGTCTGTGTGTACAGCCTGTAGTTGTGGTGTGAAATTTTTCGCTCATTCACCTCCTCGGACACCCTCCGACGGCAACTCCCTCCTCTTCCAGTCTGCGGCGCGCTTTTCGCCGTCCCTTCCGCTGGCCAACAGCATCGCCGTCCAGTCCATGTCCCTGCCATCCTCTCCTCGCAACACCGCCTCGTCTCTCCGTCACCGTCACCGTCACCGGCTCCACCGGCTCCACCGGCGCACATCACCACCGAGCCCGTCCGGCCGGGCGTCGAGCTCACGCCTTCGGGCCGGACGGCGTCGTGGCCAGCCTTAACCAGTCGCTAAGCAGGACTCGAACTCACCACCTCACGCCGGAAGCCAGAAACCAAATTCATGGATTTACTTGCTCCGCTGATTCGGTGAACACGTCGCGTCACCGCCACTGACGTGAAGATCAAGGCCTTCAGTGAGTTCCGCTGCTGCCAGAGGCTCTTCTCGGTCTTTTGTATCGTTTGCACGCGCCTCGACACTCTCATGACGCCAGAGTCCGAGTCCCGTCTGTCCGAATAGAGCCAATCAGGGGCTGTCTAGTTGTCGGTTTGTATGATCCAAGACAAATGTCAACAAGCTGCCCAGTTTTGAGGTTGTATCGGAGCGCGGCAGCTCCCCAGAGAATCGAGGTTAGTGGGAGTTTGGTCAGATCGTGTTGCTGAAGAGCAGCGGAAAAACGTGAAATTGCGGTTTTTGTAGAAGACTTTTCCCTAAATTACATTCCAGCCAACGGTCAGTTGTCAAGTAAACGTCAGATCGAATGAAGTCGGGCAAGCAGAATAAAAAAGGATAGCGACATTGGCACGGAAACAGCCATTTGGGGCACCAATATCGGACGTGTCAACAATGACACAGAATAAGGTAGATAGAAGGTTCTTCGAAATCACGTCATACACGCGAGGTTGAACCAACTCTGCAAAGTGAAAGAAGACTATGAACAAACAAGTTTAGGAAATGTTAACTTTTCGAATACTTTTCGTGCACTGTTTTTTCCGAAAGTCTGTCTGATTCATACAGAAAATAACTTGTAAGGTCAGAATTTGGTTGATCTCGCTCGAGAGCTCATTATGGTCCGACATTATATGCAAGAATGAGTCGGCATTGGGCCTCACCAGTCTATGGCATGTTTCAGCAAACTGTAGTTCTGGTAGACGGATTGCTTCGTATCAAACCTCCTATCAAGCTATCGAAGGGTTTCGACCCGACCTGTCCCAGGATTGGTGTGATGTGGCTGGCGCCGGTCTCGTATGTAATGTTTCAGCCCCTTTTATACAGTTTGTGAAACTTCGTCCTTTTTGGGTACTCCCTCGGTTGCGACATATTCCCTTATCAAAGAGGAGATAGTTTCAAATATTCTTGCAGCTGATGGAGTCAACCAAAATGAATGATTAGCCTGCTCGTAAACACATTTTGCCCCATTCAGCATGTGAACTGAGAGCAATCCTAATGCCCTGGA